GGCGAACCATGTATCGTCGTCATTGAAGCCCTGTCCGCACTTGGAGACGAGATGTTGGGTGATGGCTGCGGCATCGACATTTCCGACAACATCTGGGATCGCGACAGTCGACTTGACTTGATCGTGGTGGCCAGCCATGTAGCGGCTCAGCTGTGGCGCGGCGCGGCCGTCTGCATAGTCGGCGGCGGAGACTCCCCTTTGCTCAACGACGACGTAGGACCTGGTGGGACAGTGTTCGAGGGCCTTGAGGACGTCGGCCGTAATTTCTGATGACTCGGCGATGACGGCGTCGTTGTTGGGGATTAGCAGGCTGCAGCTGTTAGCTTGGAGACGTCAGGATGCGCTGCTTGTTGGCATGCGTACTCGGCGGTGGAGAAGAGGAAGAAGGGCGACGTGTTGCGGAAGGCGAGGGCCGAGGGCAGCGCTGCCAGAGCGAGGGCGCCGACGAGTGTCTTGACCATGATGTGGGTGGAGATGTGCGTGGGCGAGGTCGATGGCCGATGGTGTCGTTCGCGATGTGAAGCTCCAACGCGGCGCCCATGACCGCCCGGAACTAGCCGCCGTCTCGATTGGCCGGACCCTGGGTATGACGCGCTGGCCCATGTAAATTCCCATGCAATGCCTAACAGTCACCCGGAGCAGCAATCATTTGTTTGCTCGCTCGCCCTCTGCACTGCGCCACTGCACTTGAGTGCCCGAGCCAACGTGCCGCTCTGCTTGCACATATGAGTCGAAATTGACTCATGACTGCGCCTGCGTATCCCGGAACCGTCTGTCTTAGTGTCTTTCCTCCGCCGCCTCTTCTTTCTCCAGTATAACTGCTCGCCACTGCAAAGCTTCTCGTCACAACACCACACCAGCCGCCTTCTCTTTACCAGTTCAACAGGCCGTACATTTACTAGAGCCCGTGATATCACTCTTTTCCTTTCACCCTAGGCGGCCCAAGGCCACATACCACAACCGTCATTCCAGCGCTCAAAATTACCGCAACCGAATCGCACACCATGTCGACTCCTACAGTTGCGCCACAACCACCCGCCGCGGGCCCATCTGATGTCTCAAGAGGAGCACGAAGACGGCGGCACCCACGGAATCGAGGTGGAAACGCAAATGCCGCCGCACAACCAGACCAGTCACAGCAAACGCAAGCGCAACCAGCACAACCGTCACAACCGTCACAGAGAGGTGGCGGACGCAGTGGCAGAGGACGAGGGCGAGGAGGCCAAACAGATAGTGCAAGACCCTCGCAATCGAACGCTGCCGCTCTCGAGTTTGTACCCTCGTCTGTACAAGAAGCAGCACACCGAGGAGGAAGAGGTGGGCGTGGGGGTGGGCGGGGTGGTAGAGGAAGAGGTGGCGCAGAGCGTTTCCCACAGCGTATGGCTGCTGGTGGTCGTCAATTTGGTGGGCAATTGACTGGAGAAGACGATGCAGCTTCAGCCATCTCAGAAGCCCAAGGAGGATTACAAGCAGATGCACCAACCTTTCAGCCTGGCCAACCCATCGCCCCTCGCAAGTCGCGACCACCACGTCAAAAGCAGCCGCAAGCCCCCAAATCGACCGCACCCGATATCGCCACTAGAACACACGAGGATATTGACAATGGACACTACGAATGCGCAATCTGTACTGAAGATGTCACAAGGCGCACCAAGGGTGTCTGGTCATGTAGGACGTGTTGGACTGTTTTTCATTTGGGGTGTATCAAGAAGTGGTCAACAAATGAAGGCTCGGCAGCAGCGCGACAACAGACGCAAGATGGAGAGACGCCTCCCCCGAGGCAGTGGCGCTGTCCCGGCTGCAATCTACCAAAGGACACCCTCCCCAAGAACTTCCACTGTTGGTGTGAGAAGGAACTCGATCCGCGATCAACGCCTGGTCTGCCACCTTTCTCATGTGGTCAGACATGTTCACGACCCCGAGTTCTCCCCAAGCCTTGCCCACACCCTTGTGGATCGACATGTCATGCCGGTCCTTGCCCGCCTTGCGGGTTGATGGGCCCCACACAGCACTGCTTCTGTAGCAAGAAGTCAGTCACCCGTCGTTGTATTGATACCGATTACGAGCAAGGTTGGAGCTGCGGTGATGTCTGCGGAGGGCTGATGCCTTGTGGAGAACATCGATGTGAACGTCCATGTCACGATGGCCCTTGTGGCGCCTGTGAGGTACGAGTGCCAGCGCGATGCTACTGTGGGCAGAGCCAGAAAGACATCTTGTGTCACGACCGAGCAGAAGCGAAGCAGAGCAGCCAATCTCATGTCGCTACTGATGGCAGTGCGACGGTAGAGACCTGGGTAGGATCGTTCCAGTGCCCTGATCTTTGCGGACGTTCTTTCGACTGCGGGAAACACACTTGCGAACTAGAATGCCACCCACAAGATACGAAAGCACCTCATTGCCCGAGATCTCCCGACGTAGTCACACGCTGCCCATGTGGTAAGACTGCCTTGCGCGACATGTCTAGCAAGCCACGAACGACATGCGAAGACCCGATACCGAATTGCGACAAACCTTGTGGCCAGACACTTGCATGTGGCCACAAATGTGAGCAGCTTTGCCATCAGGGCGAATGCCGGTCTTGCCTGAAAACCGTCGACATCTCCTGCAGATGCGGGCGCACTTCATCTAGAACCATATGCCATCAGGGAATAGACGAGCCTCCCCAGTGCAGGCGTGTCTGCAAAGTATCCTTGAACTGCGGCCGTCACGAGTGTGGCGAGCACTGCTGTGCTGGTGAGAAGAAAGCTGCCGAGCGCCAGTCAAATCGCCGCAAAGGTAGACCATTAGATTCAACTCCTCGGCAGCCTCGCGAGAACTTCGAAGCCGAGCATATATGTACTCGGAGCTGTGGCCGGCAACTGAAGTGCGGCAACCCCGAACATCGCTGCCAGGAACTCTGTCACAAGGGCCCTTGCGGTACATGTCGCGATGCTATCTTCGATGAGCTCAGCTGCCATTGCGGACGGACCGTTTTGCAACCTCCGTTACCATGTGGTACGAAGCCTCCGCCGTGTCGCTTCAAGTGCGAGCGACCCAAGGATTGCGGTCATCCTCAACTGGACCACAGCTGCCATCAAGACGACCAGCCATGCCCCAAGTGCGCTTTTCTGACAGCCAAGCCGTGTTTGTGTGGCAAGAGTGTTCTGAAGAATCAGCCATGTTGGCTGACTGAGGTACGCTGCGGTCAGGTCTGCGGACGTACGCTCAAATGTGGGACACACAAATGCCAGAAGCAATGCCACCGGCCTGGAGAATGTGAAGACCCCTGCACTCAAGCATGTGGCAAAGAGCTCAGTGTTTGTGGCCACCCGTGCCTGGCACCCTGCCATTTCCCTCAACCGTGCAAAGAAGAGAAGCCATGCCCACACAAGATCTTCGTTACCTGCGAATGCCAGAGAATCAAGCAAGAAGCCAAGTGCAATGCTTCGCGTAACGGCGACGGTAATCTGAAAAAGGTGCTCAAGTGCGACGAAGAATGTGCACGATTGGAGCGTAATCGCGTTCTGGCACTTGCGCTCAACGTTGATCCGGAGCACCAAAACGATCATATCCCATATTCAGATGCCACACTAAACATGTACCAGCAGAACGCCACTTGGGCTGTTACACAGGAGAAGCAACTTAGACTGTTTGCTGCCGACCCGGATCAGAAGCGTCTTCGCTTCAAACCAATGCCCCGTAACCTGCGCAAGTTTATTCACTACCTTGCTGAGGATTTCGGCATGGACTCCGAGAGCATGGATCCGGAGCCGCATCGACATGTTGCCATCTTCAAGACTCCAAAGTTCGTCATGGCGCCTATGCGGACACTCGCAGACTGCGCCAGAAGTCGTCAAATCCAACAGCGTCTTGCCCCTACGCCAGCGCCAGTAACGACTTCGGCCGCTCCCTTGCGTCCTAAGCCCAGTAACACTAACGGAGATCCCTACAACGCGTTCATTATCCTGAACCCTCGCTTTGCACTCACCATTGAAGAGCTCAACCCCATCATCAAGAGCGTACTTGCTACAACATCCTTCAGATGCGAACTAGAGGTTACTTTCCTCCCTAGCGAAGCAGTAGCATTGAAACCACCTCTAGCAGCTCGTCTGAGCATCCCAGAACATGACATGCAGAAAATGCTCGAGTCGATCCAGGCACCGCTAACTCAAGCTATCACGACGCAAGGTATCGGCAAAAACGTTCAGCTCGCACGTCTCGATTCTTCGCTCAATATCCTCCGTAAGGAATCTGACGTAGGTCCTGGCTCGGGTTGGAGTCAAGTCGCAGCCTCAAAGGGTGTTCCGCTTCGCCAGATCCAGAAGACTACAGGATTCGGTAACAAGGGTGGCTTTGCGGTCCTGAGCTTGAGCAGCAAGAAGAAGAAACAAAAAGAGCCTGTTGAGGAGGTTGCGGAAAATTGGGAGGAAGCTGAAGAGGAAGAGGAGCAGAAGGAGAAGGTTAGCGGGGCCAACAGTGCTGCAATGAGTGAAGACGAAGGGATATCGAAGAACACAGGAGAAGCTTCGGACAGTAAGGCAGCCAGCGGCGAGGACGAAGGTGCGCCAAATGGTGTCTCAGAAGCTTCGAGTAGCATGCCTGCTAGTGATGAGAACAGCGTCGCGCCGAAGGACGATGTTGCGCTCTCTACTAAGCCACTACTTGGACGCTGGTCAGAGCTGGATGACGAACTAGATTAGCTTTGATGTATGTGTACCATGGATATTGTTGAAAGACTTGACTATCAGAGAGCAGTTTGATATTGTTCGTTGGTTGCCAACAAATCCTGCCACGTGTTTTACATTATTTCAATCCTTCTCAGCTCTATCGGGTATGTAAGAGACGAAGTTGAACTCTTTTACATCGTCATATCAATTAACCGTGAACGCCAGCCCGTCAAGTGTGATTACAGGCCATATTTTGTCCTTTGTCTCAAGGAACAGACGCCTAACACATGCAACAACACAATTCCCATAAAAACTCCGTTCAGCCCTGCGGTGTAGGAGCTAACCAAGGACGCTCTAGAAGTTGTTCTGCTCCCTCTGCTGCCTCTCCGCCTCACCCTCGGACACAATCCTCTTGCCCAGCCACTCAGTCTGGAAGCTTTCGTTCAATTTGGACAAGTCCTGGATAACCAGTTTACAAGTAGCCATAACAGCTTCCTTGGGTGTAATGGTGCCATCGGTCTGGACGCGGAGTTCAAAGGTAGCGAAGAGTGGGTGGGGGACTTTGTACGCGGCGAACATGACGGCGGGGTTCTTGAGGAGACGCTGCGAGAGGAGGTTGCCGAGGGTGTGGTCTTCTTTGTTGAAGGTGAAGACGGCGGTGTTCGGGACGCCTGGTGCGCGTTAGTCTTGTGAGGGGCGGATGTGGGGAGATGTTGTATTATACTTACGGGTCTCTGCTTTCTCCTCAACCTTTTGCTGACCTTCGTCTAGCAGGAAGAGCTCGAATCTACATTCATCATCGTGGTCAGCTTTGTGCGATACATGGCGGTTGTTTTTTGAGCTGTCGCGCAGTCCACAATTTGGGTTTTGCTCGATGAGTTGTCCGATCTTTGGTGAGAAGGAAGACGTTGGGTTTCGACTCATCATGAGGTATATCCCGTTCGTTCCTTGTGAGGCTTTCGGGCTAGAGTAGTGACTCTCACGGTATCGCATACTTTTGAGGGCGCATATATATGGTGCAGCGGGTCTTTGTGATCAGGTGCCAGTGCCATGCGCTCATGCAAGTGTGTACCATCTTGTTGTTTTCACCCGCTTGTGATGAAAGGACAGAACAAACCGTTTGGGTACGCAATCGAGATCGCGGTGGCCTGGCATTGTGGACTGTGGACTGCGCGTACAGAGAACACCTTGCAAATAGAACGTGAGTTATGAAAGACAGGACATACCTGTCTGGCGCGTTCATGATGCCTGCTCTTTCTTTTCTGGATGCCTATCTACTCTTGCCTGCGTATATGAGAACACCTGCTGCGGTCGCAAGTGAGGAAGATGCGCGGCGGTTGTAGAAGGAAGTGATCAGAATCAAATAGCAAGAGAAGCAACGATTAGCGCAGTCCGATCGAGGCCGAGGGAGTCTGGAGTGGTTGTGATGGCGTGTGGTAGCCGCTGGGGAAGGCGTTGCGGAGGTGAGGGTGGACTTCCGCGCGCGCGACGTTCTTTGTGCCTTCACCCACCGCCTTCCACATTCGAAAGCCTCGCGTGGCTTAGTCACCGTAGGGTCCGCGCCCACAGCACCTTGTGTCAAGCGCGTCGATTGAATGAAATATCGTTCTCTACCAACTTGGTTTTGAAATTGTTGCATCCGGTCCTAAATCTAGCAAGAAAAATTTGGTTCTTCAGTACTTCGACTTACCTATACGGTACACAAGTCACGACGATAACATGAGATGAGGATGCGCTCCAAAGGTGTGGTGTTTGTATCTCGATGTTATGCTCGAGTTGCATGATATTCAGAAAGCTATAGCTAGTGTAGAAGTCCATCACCAAGACGTGGACGGGTGTCGCTCACAAGAGGCGACACAAAGAGTTTTTTCCCGTCGTACCAACCACTTCCCAGAGCGACTGTGAGAGCGCCGTTCAACGCCACAAACACCATGCTTCCTCATGGGGTGCGCCCACCGCATTGCAAAAAAGCCAGATTTCTCCCACGCTAGAAGGATACCGCTAAAGGAGGAACATTAAAATTATATACAAGGCAACAGTGTCAGAGCCTCACGGAGGCTCCCTTTCTGCCGATCAGAATTCCTAAGACCGGTTGATCTGCGCTTGCTGCATACCCGGACTTTGTTGCATCTGTGGATTCTGAGGCGTGGCGCTCCGACTAGGCGGTCGCGCGTTTAGTCCAGGACTACCGCCCTGTTGTCTTGCCATCAGCCGTTGTTGTTGGACCAGTTGGGCCTGATAATTCTGTACCGCGTTTGTTTGAGGAGCGTTGGCCATGCCCCCGTTCTGTTGGAAATATTGATTGTTCTGTATCTGTGGAGACGGAGATATGCCTGGGGATCCAGCTGCTGCGCTCATTGCCTGCGTACGTTGCTTAGCCAGGTAACGGGTGAGGTGGTCGGAGGCCTGTTTGGTAACCTGTTCTGGGGTCCATTCCGGATGCTGTACCTTTAACTGGTTCTGGAATGCCAGTAGCTGAGGCATGTGCCCGCTGGATAGCGGTCTTGAAGGAGTTTGCATGTTTCCGTTGCCCTGGTTCATTCGTGGAGATCCAGCAGCATTTGACATCCCTTTCATGGAATTGTTCATGTTTCCGTTCATGGCGCCGCCGTTCTGGTTGGGAACGGGTGCCATCATGTTTGCGTTAGGGATACCGTTCATGCCCATGCCCTGTGTAAGGTTGCTAGCCATGTTGATCTGTTGCTGTTGCAGCTGGAACTGATGTTGTTGGGTGGCGTTAAATTGGCCCCTTTGCATAGCCATGCGCATCTGATCTGGTGGGCCCATGCGCTGAGGGTTCTGCATGTTGCCCTGCATCTGTGCTTGGGGAACGCCCGGTGTGCCCATCGCCATGCCAGACATATTTCCGTTAGCGAAGTTGGCTTGCATTCCCTGTTGAGACTGGTGCGGTCGCGCTCCCATCGCGGAGCCGTTCTGTCCCTGTTGTAAAGGCGGATTAGCCATTTGTGGAGGAACGTTGTTGGTGCCTCCAGGTGTCCCGTTACGCTGCATCTGATTGACACCATTTGCCATTCCTGGTTGCGCCTGTAGTTGGGCCTGCTGCCGTGCCACCATTTGTTGCTGTCTCAAGTCAGAAATGAACGAATGGTTCAATTGTCCATCACTTACCCTTGCCATCATCTCCTGCGCAATGTGCCTCTGCTTGAGCTTCTCTTCGCGTTCCCACTTGAGACGGCTGAATTCTTGCGGCGTGTGGACATTGTTCTTGGGTGGCGCAGGCTCATGGGCTTTCCGAAGCGCAGCAGCCTTCTGAGATTCCGCTTGCTTGTGGGCAGCAGACTCGCGTTTCCTAGCCAGTTTGCGCATACCATCAATAATGGCGAGATGACGGTTTTCTCTCCTTCTCTCCACCCGTATCGGCGTGGTTGTAGGTCTTCTACGCGGTTGACCTGGAGTCTGGCCTTGTTGCTGCTGCTGTTGCTGTTGAGCTTGAAACTGGGCAAATACAGTCTTGTTGGCCTGCTCCAGTCGGCTCTGGTAGGTCCGGAAGTACTGTGTTTTGGACATCTCGGCGGGAAGACCTTCCAATTGTACCCAGCGCTCGAAGCATTCCCATGGCGTTCGTCGACCTGACCCAGATACAAACATCGAAGGTAACGACAGTTGCTGTGAAACAAGAGACCAGTTGAAGGTATACTCTTTCACCAACGCCCGTAGCTTTTGGTCCTCTTCCCATAACCACTGAGAAGGCGTGCGATTCTCGAAGAAGGCGATCGTGGGCATGTTGAATTCTGTAGGTGGTCTGAATTGATGGGCTGCTTGTAGTCGGTCGCGGACATGCTTGTTTTCGGCGTTGAATAGGGCAACATTGGTCATCTCTGGTGGCAAGTCGTTGCGACAGAATAATCGACGACCAGGTGTGGATGGCATTGAATGCTCGGCAGACGTACCAGATCGACTAGGTGGCGAAGACGGCTCATCTTCGGAGTCGTAGTCGTACCTGCTACGCTTCTTAGGCGGACCTCGTATCTGAGAGACGAGCTTTCCTGTAACGAACTTGGACACGGGGAGGATTGGTGGCTCCGATAGAGAGAAGGGGCTGGTGTCGCTAGAGCCTTCGAACATCGGGTCGTAAAGAGGCAGTTCTCGGAACATGGTATCACTGGCTGGTGTGCGATCGATCTTCATGACGACGTCGTTGAATCCAAGAGAGAACAGACCTATAGGAGGTGTGGCATTAACGGGAGTAAGGACATCGTCCTCATCACCGTATGACTCACTTTCGGTCTCATGCGTGCTAGAATGGACGAGATCTGGCGTGGGAGCGTCGTTCATATCCTCATCGCTGCTTACACGTCTGGCACCCTTCGGAATATAGGTGTTGACCCGTAATGCTGCTTGCTCTTCAGACGTACTGCTTACGTACTCGGCACACCATTCTGCAAAGGTAGCAGCGAGAGCCTTTTTCCATTTCCTCTCCTCTTTGAAGTCCGTCTGCATCCATTTCATTTCAAGGAGTACTTGATCCTGATGGGTAAATGGACGCTCGGGTTCGACTGCCTTTTGGAGTTGCCGTAAAGACCAGCGGTTAGCATTTTGCAACTGGTACACTCTCTTCAGGATCTTGTAGTCTTGGTGCTCCCGAATCATAGCAAGCGTGCCAGCGGTCGATACTGTCTTCCTTGCAGATGCCACAAGTTCCTGCAAAGGCACGGACCTAGGTGGGTGGTGAGCCTGATACTTGAAGAGGCCTTCCAGATAATCTCGACTAGAGTCTTCCGAAGCACCTTGAAGCGAAGCATAGTCTTCATTGTAGGATTGCAGAGCTTTCGATGCCTTGGTCGGTGTCTTCTTAGCGAATACGACGGTCGAGATCTCTTGAGATTTCCGACGAGCAGTTCGCGGTCGTGGAGGACTAGTAGATGCCGAGAGGTTGCTTGAGCGAGGAGTTAGCATGGTCTTGGGAGCCGCCTTCTCGGCGATGATCTCAGAGACAGACTTCTGTCGGATTGCGCCAGAAGCAACACGGGTGGTCATTCGCTCGGGATTGGGCATTGAAGGTTGCGGTGAGGTCGTGGACTGTGCATCCAGGGAGGGTACGTCGCGCATTTCGATATCAGTATCAGCAGGGGGGGTTGGGTGGTCGGCAGTAGGAGATGTACGTTGTTGGTTAATGGCTTGGTCGGCGTTATCGCGATCCATGGTTGGAGGCTCCGCAGCAACTGTGGTTGGCGTTGGTAACGAGTCAACCGCAACATCATGACCAGTCTTTATCCCAACAGCATCATCCCCTTCTGTTTTTGTCCCAGGTGGAGCATCATCCACACCCTCCGTCAAGGAATGTGCATCTCCGGCAGGCTGTGACTCGCTTAGGCGACTCTTCCCGTCGCGAGCTAAACGTATTGCCTGTTCGTCCTCGATCTGTTTCTCGATATCGGGTGTAGGGGAGTCTTCTTCTCTTGCTCGGGCGTTTTCCCTCGCCTCCTTCATTCGCTTCTGTAAGGCACGCTCGTGGTCATCCTTTACTTGCTGCGCGGCGGGGTCAAGGACATCGTCGTTTGGCAATGGTACATTGTTGCGCTCTCTGTAAGTCTCGGAGTCAGGACTAGTATCAGGCGAATGGTGTTGCGCATGTGGTGTCGCTTGAGAGTAAGGCCCGACGGTTGACGATGGGGAGGAAACATCGACGGACGCGTTCGTAGGTGGAATGGTAAGTCGTTCCTCTTCTCTTCGCTCTTTCTCTGCAGCCTTGTCCAACTTCTGTTCCGTCTCCTGCAGCCTAGCCTCTTGAACCTCTTTTGGTGGTAGATGCACGACCTTTGATGGCTTTGGTTTGACATCCGTCGTGTCTTCCATCGCAGCAGCGTTCGTGTCTTCAGTAGTTGGCGATGCAATAGCACTAGGGTCAACCGTAGATGTGTCGGCGGGGAGGTCATCCTGGCTTCCTACAGCCTGAACTGCAGGGGCTGCTTCAAACGGAGTCTGGTTAGCTACCTCGTCTTCCACCGTAGGGGATGCAGCACGCGAGGCATCCTTGACGCTAGGGGTGACATGAATGGTATCACTTTGCAGTGATGGTTCGACGGACGGTAAGGTTTGCGTCGCAACAGACGGCGAAGCAGAGGCGACGCGAAGTTGATCCTCGAGGCTTGGGGTGCCGACAACTGGGGATGGTGACGACTTGATGAAGGACTTGGTTGCGTTCTGGAATGGCAGGGTGGCAGGGAGTGGTGGCTGATGGTCAGTAACGGCCACTGGGAAGGGCAGTGTTGCATCGTTGAAGCGTCGACCTCTGTAGACGCGACCGTGTTAGTGGAACGAACGACGACGACAACAACACCAACACTGGGAGTGGATATGTCTGCAGTGTCTGGGCGCGGTGTATCTTACTGTGAGATGTCATTTTCGTCAAGAAAACGACGTTCGTCCTCGTCAGGTTCGCCATAGACGAAGTCGTCTGCCCTTGGCTGGTGGCCGTTCAGAGCGGCATTGCAGCAGCCCGTGACCTTCCAGAGTGCCCGGAGATGGCGCTCCAATGTTGCGGATGTGAGTCTGGGGACATATCATTAGCACCACCACAACGCGTCAACAAAACAAAACGAGCGATTTTTCCGTGTCGCATGGCTGCATTTAGTCGAACTGATCGATCAAACTGCAAACGCGATGGATAGTCGTCGACTTTGACTTACGCGGCTTCATTTGTCTTCTCCTGGCGTAAGGTTTCCCGTAAACTGTCGAGGGACATATGAAGACCGACGAACGGTGGCCGACATCCGTTATCCACGAGTGCCGCCGTTGTGATGAATTATGGGGGATGTTGGACGCGTTCGTTGATGGAAATGTGTTTTGCGATATGCTGAACTGATGGGCGGGACTTGCGAGAACGTGAGGGAAGGGCTGCGCACGCCGCATACAGGGATGGCCGTGATAAGCCCTGCCTAGTCTGGGTTCATTGGGCCAACATTGGGGACTAGCTCCACCCGGCCTAGTCCTGCCGTCTGCATCAAAAACTTCTGGATCTCCAAAGACGCGACAACTGAATAAAACAACAGCCAATCGTCAGAATGCCACCAAAGAGGAAGAGAGAAGCCGCCGAGAGCGCCGCAAAGGCAAAGGCGCTGAAAAGCACAAAGGAAGCAGTTGCCTCAACCCCAAAGCAGCCGGCAACCAAGGAAAATGCGATCCGCAAGAGCAAGGAAGCTGCAGCCAACGGGAAGATGGACGTGAGTATGAGCAAACTTCAAATCGATTCCACAACAGAAGTCGAAGATGCCGTTCCCGATGTCACGACTGTCCAAGTCATAACTGGCTCCTACGAGAGGGTTCTACATGGATTCGCAGCTGCTCTTCCCAGCAGTCTCTTCACTGGACAAGACGATGCATCGACACCTGAGGCAGACAGGTCAAAAGTGGATTTTACCGACACATTCCTTTTCAACGCCCATGCGTCTTCCATCCGCTGCCTTGCTCTGTCTCCTCTTTCAAATGAGACATCTAAAATCACACTGGCCACAGGCAGCACTGACGAGCGCATCAACCTGTATTCCATCTCAACAGCACCACCTGTCGCCTCCAAGCTCAGACCAAAGCTGCCTTCTCTACATGGCGGCTCCATCACCGAGAACCCCAAGAACAAGGAACTCGGCTCATTACTTCATCATTCATCAAATATCACAGCCCTCTACTTCCCCACGAGGGCAAAGCTTCTAAGCTCCGCAGAAGACAGCACAATCGCTATCACAAGAACGCGCGATTGGACCGCACTTTCAACCATCAAAGCACCGATACCGAAACCTCAGGGCCGACCAAGCGGAGACACAGCCGGACCCGGCGAAGTGCCTTCTGGAATCAATGATTTCGCCGTGCACCCCAGCATGAAGCTTATGCTCAGCGTAGGCAAGGGCGAAAAGTGTATGCGGCTCTGGAACCTCGTAACGGGAAAGAAAGCCGGCGTGTTAAACTTTGACCGCAACATCCTGGCCGCAGTAGGCGAAGGGCGCTTTGCGTCCGGCGAGGGCAGGAGGGTAATCTGGGATAAGGAAGGCGAAGAATTTGCAGTGGGCTTTGAACGCGGTATCGTTGTTTTCAACATTGAATCCAAGCCAAAAGCAAAGATTGCACCAACCCCGAGGACAAAAATCCATCAAATGCACTACTTGCCGTCGGAGTCGCATCAGGCCACGCTACTAGTGTCCACAGAAGATGGCCGCGTACTTCTCTACGATACAGCCACCACAATACCAACCGAAACATCAGAAAAGAACAAGGACGATGTGCCAGCTGCCAGATTAGTCGCTCAAATTGGTGGCCCAGCTGCAGGCATGACGAATCGTGTCAAGGACTTCGAAATCGTATCTCTCTCGCAAACAAGCTTCCTTATCGTCACTGGTAGCAGCGACGGCACAGTGCGCTTTTGGTTCTTGAGTACGGATGAACTGAAGAGTGACGATGCGGGCAAGGCAAAGGGCTTCACTGCAGTTCAGGTTGGCAAACTGCTTGGGTCGTATTCCACAGGCACCAGAATCACATGCTTGAAGGCTTTCTCCATGACTGGCAAGCCTGATGCAGAGGAGGAGGAGGAGGTCATCGAGAAGGATGGAAGTGCGTCGAGTAGTGAAGATGATAGCGAGTAGAACACAGTTGCAGTTGTAGCATTAATGATACCACCCTGTTCTTGCGACTTGATCATATCGTATCAATCTGAGTAATGCGGTAAACTTTCATATTCATGTTCCATCTTGTCCTTCAATCCACCATCCACCATCCATATACCTCCCTCCTTTCTACAGGTTCATAGTAACAGTCATACTGTTACTATGTACTAACAGCACAGGTGGCAACCCCTGACATAACACCTCCAGGTCACTAATATACTTGACACTCTCAGCCTCACTCTCGCACGTGCCCTCCATTGGACTGGGTAGCGTCGTAAACACTACAGCCGTATCCTCGGAATGCTGGCGTATGAGCTCGTTCAAGATAAGATGTTGAGCGCGACAAGGCAGGTCGTTGAAGGAAAGAGGAATAGCTTGTTGGGCGGGGAAACCAGATGCTGGGGAAGCGGTACCGGTGTCAGTGGGCCCAAGGTTTGATGATGACGCAGCGGCCGAGTGGGGACTAGATGTGGCTGGCGTGTTGTCTGCAGCGAGCTGGGTGGGTTCGCCGGAGGTCATGATGGGGTCTTGTTTGTCAGCTGTGCTGGGCTTGGGCGTGTCGACAAATGTTATTGACGGGCCAGTTGTTTCTTCTGAGGAGATCGCCGTCCGGGGAGTCGGGTTTGACGTGAATTTTGGTAGAGATTGCCGGCGTATCGGAGATGGTTTGACAAAGGATTTCGCAGAGCGTTGCGAGGATGAACTGGCTATACTCTGAGATTTGGATTGCTTTCTAGCACGCAACACGGCCGTATCAGAGGCGGCGGCGTCTGGATGCGGCCTGAGTGGTGTTACAGAATGTGTGGTTGGCCTATCATCTTTTTGCGAATTACTGTCTTTGCGCGAGCTCTTCCACATGGTTTTGCGAAGATCTAGCTGCCTGGTGAAGAAAGAGCTACTTGGTGCCGTCTTTCGTCTTCTTGGAGACATCCTCTGCCCGTTGTGATCGCTCTCATCACTCGATGCATCCAGATCGTATTCGTCAAAGTTGCTGCCGCTGACGACAGCCTCACTATCTGACGCCATTGCTTCGTCATCGGCATCATCCTCCCCTCTGCCGGCTGAAGATGGCTGAGTGTCGCTATCGCTATCATCCAGTAGCTCGACAGGTATTCTTTGGCTTTGTATTTTGATTCTCGTCCCATCGCCAAGATTGCTGACCGACGTCCTACTTTTGGCCTTACGTAGCATCTTCCGTAGTGCTGAGAAGCGCTTTGGATTTGTCTCTTGCCTGCCATGTTGAAATGAGGCGATAGGCCAGTTGGTGACAGCTTCAAGGATGTCAACAGTCTGTGCTAATTCCTGACTAGCGCTCATGCTTTCGGGTTGACGCAGACGTTTGATGTCTTGCCACCAGCGCTCGTCTTCCAGCGAATAGTCGATATCACGACCAGTCTGGTCAAGTTCACCATCGTCTCTTCCGTTGATAATGACTTCGTACATGCTCAAGTCACCAGATGATAACCAGAAGACATGTACTTCAGCCTCTAAATTCGAGTGTAGAAAGTCAGTACATGTCTCAAATGCAATTCGTATAGGAAGACTTACCAATGCGCAGGTTACGTAGCAGTGTCGTGACGCGATCGCGCTCTTCTTCTACATCCGTTTCATACTCAACAAAGACGCAGACTCTCAACTTGTACATGCGTTTCCAAGAAGGCACCGTATGTAAGATACATCCGAGCTGGAGAATCAGCGTGTACGTGTCGAAATTAGTTGTCAGCACATTTTTGCGAACTGGTTCGTCGCCAGCGGTAGCGATCTCAGCTGACATCTGTATCGGCCACAGATCAATGTACTTCTTTGAGGGATCCTCGATCTCGATATCGCTGAGACCCATGAAACTGAATGCTTTTTGTTTTGCGGTCGGCTTTGCAGGTGGCACTTCGAGTTCTTGAAAACCCTTGCCTATAGCGACGTTTGCCTGCAACCGCAGAATCAGATCTTCGATTACGGTCACGTAGCTGCGTATGGCAACTGCACTCTCCGGCTTCATGGCGTCTGTAGGAAGCATACTGTGAGTATTTCCTGTGACGCGTCGCCTGGCTGCTGCTTGAATCGCTTTTCGGGAGACAGGATGATTTGCAGCCTTGCTAGACGGGCGTGATGGCTGCGGCGAAGGTATGCCAATTGAAGGCTGCGCTTGCCTCAGCTCAGGTAAATTGTAGAAGCCCATGACAACTATGTTTGGTCGCATTCCACCCAGTCCTGCACCGAGTACGAGATTGCGAGCGCCCCACTCTACAGAAGGAGATATAGCGATGTTTACAAACGCTTTGATCCTGGAAAAGTCTATGTATTTCGTCCAAGATTGTTGCTGTCGTCTAGCCTCTGGCACAGCTTCACCAAAGTCGTTAGAGACAATGACATGCCCGAGGACAAAAAGGCCTCCCTTTTTCAACGAATTGCAAAATTGAATCAGCTTGTACTGTCGCCGCGGGTCATTGACAAGAAGCAGGATCTGGGGTCTCCAGAACTTGACATGCTCTTGGCGTAGGCGCAGCAGGTATTTTCGCACCTGGTGATAGATGAGACCTTGACTGACATCACCCCATGGCTTAGGAGGTGTGGTATAGTGAATCAGCAGGAAGATGATCATAAGCAGAGCTACACAGCCAGATGCATAGAAGCCGTCGACGAAGAACATGGTCGCTCCGCATGCGACAGTCCCAATCAAAGCTGTGGGCCAATTGAAATAGTGAAATGAGGGCCGGAAGTTCGGAGCAGATCCGATCTTGAGTAAGAAACAGGCCAAGTTGGTGACTAGAAACGTCATGAGATACGTCATTGTAATGAACGAAGCGATTTGGTTGATATCGGCAAACATTGTGATTTGGGCAATGATGAAAGTGATGATGATGGCGTAGATCGGCTCGTCCGATTTCTTTGTTCCCTGACCAAAGAGAGAAAGTCCCGGGATCAAATGGTCGCGAGCAAGAGCCTGGAGAAGTTTGGCGGAGCCAATAACACCCATGAGCACCGAGAACAGTGATGTTGCCATCTCGCCAGCAAGTACGACCGCGCCGGAGATGTTGGTCAGCTGGATGACATTTGTGTTGTTGTAGAAGGTTTCGCGTGCTATCGATGCCGCCATCGCAAATATGACGAGTGTGTACAGGATGAAGGTTAGACCTATACCATATAGTGTCCCCTTTGGAATGGCTTTGCTTGGATGTTTGAGATCCCCACTCATGCTTGCGCCGGCAAGAATGCCTCCTGTGGCTGGGAAAAGAATACCAAAAAGATCTTGGAAATTTTCGCGGTGATGACCAACACTTCCAGCGGCGCCTCGCGTGAAGTGTGGTAGCAAGTTTTGACGGAAAGTGTCCATGCTGAGGCCTGTGAACACAATTTCCTCCTTCGGATTTGTGAAAGGAGGCCTAACAACAGCTGAAAGAGGGATGCTGATCGTTGCAACTAGCAGAACAAGGAGCAGACCATTGCTGCAACGGGCAAAGAGTCCGCTTCCAGCAAGACAGATCAGTGTGCAAACTGCTAGAACTAAGGTGGCCCAAAGGAACTGCCACCAATAGCTTTGGGGGAGCCATTCTGCCATGTCACCTCCGTGGCTGCCGAAGTTTTCGATGAGACAGTCGATGAGACCAACAGCGTTTAGGGAGGTATTAAATACTGAGCCAAGATAGTAGACGATACCTATCGATCCACCGAACTCAGGTCCCAAGCTTCTGGAAATGAGATAATATGCTGCATCCTGTGTTAGTTCAGACAAAAAGAAAGTGTCCAGAGTTGAACTTACCGCCACCCCCTCTAACTGTGCCGTTTGTAGCAACAGCAGAGATACTCAATGTCGTCAGGAGATTGATGGCATAGGCCGCTAACAGCATGCCCATCATACCGATTAAGCCAGCTTGACCAAGGAGGAAGCCAAATCGTAGAAACATTAGAATAGATAAGACGTTGAGAGTCACGGGCACGAAGACTCCAGCAAAGGTGCCTAGTTTGTCGGTACCTCCAACGGGTCTGGGGAAAGCACCAGGCCTTGGTTTGGCAGTTTCGCTGACTGCATGTCGTTTGCTGTCATTACTGTGATCCTTCCGCAAGATGGATCGCGAAGTGTGAAGGAAGCTTGAGAACCAGCTGCTCATACCCTCTCGAGTGTTTCCTGTCTCTTCAGTGCCATCCAGGATGTTGGCATTATCTGGATGCTGGCGTCCACTGCCTGGCAGAAGTGGTGTTTCCTCATCGGGTGGCGGTGAATGCTGTACGAAGGAGCGCCTGTGCAACCGTTCACTATCATCTCGTGCTGTGCGGGTTGCAAAGTTGGAGCGTGTTCTCGGCAGGGTGAGCCTGGCCGTCTGGTTCGCATCCGCATCGGTCATGGTCTCGGCATCTGCAAACCTGGTTCAATGTTCCTGGCACGAGGTGTCACTGCGGTTCCGGTATAGCCGTACACACGGGATGCGCCAGCTGGTTGTGGATGTTGGTTTGTGAGAGCGAGACATGGACAGGACAGCTGGGAGAAGTGACAAGGAAACAGTACCGAGGAGCGATGACGCTGCACACACATCGCCAACATGAACTCGTCTGCTATGCTTCACTTTAGCGGCTTAGCGCTCGCTTCACAGGGAAAGATGCAGGGCTTAAAACGGCGTGACATGGTCATCCCGCGCGTGGGGCGCCACATCTCTCCGGCGAATCGACGAATGACCTCAACCTCTCGGCACAGGCCTCGAAGCAGCCCGTCCCAGCTTTCGTTGCTTCTTCTGCGCGTCTTCCTCTTGTTGCTATACATATCGCGTAGCATCTCGAAGCCTCGCGGTATGCATCTACTGACGCTGCCATCTACACAACCCCTATAGCTTATTTTCGTCCCTAAGAATCCTGTCGCGACGTTAGACGCAGATAGCCGAAGCTCGCGTTTCTTATCACAGAGCTCAACAGCACACGCAGCCCAACATGCCGGGTGAGCGTTCGGCATCCACGAATCCACAGGCGGTGCCGTCGTCGCGAGATTCTGGAGGAAGCTCTCCGTCACAGTCTGTTCGCGCAGGCTCTATCGCGCGACTGGGCTCGCCCATTCCTTCCCTACCCAGCGGTACACCTGCCGTACGCCAAATACCCACACCTTCCCAAACAGCCAACTCGTCGTCGATACAGACTCCTCTGCCCGGACGCGCAGATCCACAATCGTCGCTGCCCGGCCCATCCGAGTCAAACCTCTCTTCGGCTTTGAAAGAGTCTCTGGGCAATTCACCCCCACGATTCGGCCCACCTCCAATCCGCCCGCTCTCACCCGCCCAAGAGGCGCCTCCTCGTGTCCCACCTAGTGATTACGGTTCCTTTGATGGCCGAGGTCGCTCTCCAGTACCTTATGAAGATGCCGAGATCGTGCGCCGACATCTGGTAGGTCACTATGCCTCACCAAGCAGATCAAATCGCGGACACATAGGCGAGGATGACGCCCAGTCAACCGGAATGAGGCCCGAAGAAGACGAAGAGCAGTTCTCGAGCTTGCAGCTTCAAGGAGGTGACATCACGCGGCAGATTTACAGATGGAGTGAGCAGCAACAAGCTGAAGAACAGGGAAAGTTGCAGCGTAGCAAGAGCTTCCATGGATCTCGGCGCAAGCCTGAGGACGAGGCACTAGACATTGATTCCATCCGGCAGCCAGGCGGCTTCAGACGAAACTACCTGCGTCGGGCGGCCGATAGTCCCTCGCCTGGTCCGGGCCCATCTGGATACGGAACAGTTCGCCAGCCGCGCCAGCCGCCTCAAGTCTTTACGAGCAATTTCCTCGAGTTTCTGACTCTGTACGGCCACTTCGCTGGTGAGTCTCTTGAAGAAGACGATGAGGTCCTGGGCCCAGACGAATACTTCTCCTCTGATGCACTCGATTCCGGTGCACAAAGCGAGGATGAAGACCGCGAGTATGGCGAGTCGAGCGCACTGCTCACTCCTGGAAAACGGAGGAAGCGTAAGGCGAAGAAGACAGGCACCGGCAGCCCTACAGGTGCAGCCATGCTGCTCCTCAAATCCTTCGTTGGCACGGGTGTCTTATTCCTTCCTAGAGCCTTCCTCAACGGCGGTATGGCCTTTTCGAACCTGGTCCTTCTTGCTGTGGCAGGACTCTCCTATGCCTGTTTCGTCTTGCTTGTTTCCACCCGCCTCGTGGTGGAGCACTCATTTGGCGACATGGGCTTCCATCTCTATGGAAACTGGATGCGCAACATGATCAACTCCTCTCTTGTCGTCTCGCAAATAGGCTTCTCATCCGCCTATATTGTCTTCGTTTCTGAGAATCTGCAAGCTTTTGTTCTCGCAGTGTCCAACTGCAAGACCTTCATCGACATCAAGTACATGATTATGATGCAGATGGTCATCTTCTTGCCGTTGTCGCTCTATCGCAACATCAACAACATTCAGAAGCTCGCATTGGTAGCAGATCTCTTCATTCTCATGGGTCTTGTATATCTGTACTACTATGACCTCTTCACCATCGTCGACCAGGGCGGCATTTCCGATATCGTCAATTTCAACGCCAAGGATTGGACTCTCTTCATTGGCACTGCCATCTTCACTTTCGAAGGTATTGGTCTTATCATCCCCATCCAGACGGGCATGAAGGATCCAAAGAAGTTCCCCAAGGTCTTGGGAGGTGTCATGATCATCATCACTGTCATCTTCCTCAGCGCTGGTGCCCTGTCCTACGCGGCGTTTGGATCCAAAACCAAGACTGTGGTACTTCTCAACATGCCTCAGGATAACAAATTCGTCAATGGTGTCCAGTTCATTTACTCACTCGCCATCTTGCTATCCACTCCGCTGCAGATCTACCCTGCAATCGAGATCACTAGCCAGCAGCTGTTTAGCAGGACAGGCAAGTACAATCCGTACGTCAAGTGGAAGAAAAACTTCTTCCGCTTCTTCGTGGTCTTGGTGTGCGCCTGTCTTGCCTGGGCCGGTGCGGGCGATCTGGACAAGTTTGTCAGTTTAGTAGGCAGCTTTGCCTGTATTCCGCTGGTCTTCATCTATCCTGTGAGAATCTCCCCCGCTTCTTGTCAACTCACTGCTAACGAAATTCAGCCTTTGCTTCACTACCGTGCTGTCGCACGAACAACAACTGCACGTGTGCTGGACGTAACACTCTGCATTATCGGTGCAGTTGGCATGGTGTATACAACAACTCTCACTATCCAAAGCTGGATCCACGGTGGTGGTCCTAAAGCGCCTGGCTACTGCGACGGTCGGTAGTCGATGTCTCCTACTCGCAAATTGACTCATCTCTTGTTTCGCATTCCATATAGCATTTTAGCGATGTACATAAGCATCAATCTTTGGGTGTACCTCGTCATAGAAGTGGCGCTACGCAGGCTGGGGTTTAGGGTGTACTTGGAAAGCGATCTATCACACGCGCATATCCGGATGAATAGAAGCGACGAGGCTCAGGTCTATCCGTTGTATCAATGTAGAACCAGACTAGTCTCTTCTTTGCTTTTCGACCGCAGCTGCAGCGTGACATAGTTGTGAGTACATGACATGTGCTGTGTTATCGTGTTGTATGCATCCGTCTGGCATCAAGACGGCGGATAGCATCTGAAACGGCGTAGGGCGAATAGTGTCAATATTTCTCCGAAGATGCAGCGGATACCTAGCTGGTGACCAGGGCTCAGATACGAGGCGATTCAATACTCGCGCAAAACATTTGGCGAGTAGGATACGAGAGATGTACATGCAGGGCGCGGAAACACCGGAATCAGGAATCGGCACAAATGCAACGGCATAACTGGTGTCAAGGCGTGCATGTGCGGCTGATGCTCGTATACGCCACTTGTGGTGGTGGGGTTTCAGATGCCGTCTGTTGTGGGATGGATGGCAATTTGGAGGCGGTCAAGAGAATCGAACTGCTAAGGCATCCAGACGTTCCCAACGGACGCAGGCAAAGCGTTGTCGTCGGCACGCTTTCCTATAGCTGAGCTCACACATGCAGGTAGGTAGAATAAGCTTTTGCCAGAGCGGAACAAGCGCGTAGCAGCCACAAGGTGCTCACCGTTGTTCCACTCCCCGCCATTCCAGTTGAGCAAGTGTACACGCCCCGAAGTCTCAGCTTGATCCTACACGTTTGTGATTACAGTGTGTGATTCGTTCACAGCGTCAGCCACAGCAGCTCAAAAGCTTTCTCTGGCTCCTTCGAGGTGTGCATTGCTGCCGCTCTTGCGTGAGATGCAGACTTGCGAAGCCAGACGGCATGTTGCTTCTCACCGTCTGATTGAGACACATTACACGGTGGGGAGCACATTGCGGGTAAAGTTCCGCCGTTAGTGGGACGGATGGTGCAGCTAGCGACTGGGTTCCACCCATATCCCATATTTTGTTTTGCCTTGTCGGTTTTCTTCAAGCTGCTGCTGCCGACCCTGTGGCAGAAGATCCTCAAACAGAGTTTACAGACGTCAAGTAGTGACGCACGGCGATAATTCCAAATTGGGAGCCGTACCCGCGCTGACGTAGCGAATCCGCGGTATTGAATGATGAGAGCAGAATTAGAAACAAATCCATAAGCATAATCATTAGAACACCTGAACGCCTCCAGTACGGCGATGGCGGCGCCCGTCAGGACACGAGAGGCATAGTGGCCGTACTGTAGCATTGAGAGGAGAAAGATTCTGGCATCTTGACATGAAAATAGTATAGGAACGGGTCTAGCGTTGCTATTTTGGAGGTGCTGCGCCTCTTGGTCCCTGAGAAACGATGTATAGCGGGCGATCAGGTCAGGAACAGCAACGGAGACTACTGGCTGCATTCATCGCGGAAGCCGATGGACAAGGATGATTCCGAGAGACATGACGAAATAGGGGACGACGAGGGACGGGCAGTGGGATGCATGGGCGTGTCGACGAAAAGGCCGTAGTCGCGAGTCGCAGGGACGACAAGCAGGCAGATTCAAGGGTGGTAGAGCGGCGTCACAGATGACTGCGATACGCTGCATTGGCGAGGCTAGACAAGGTCGAGTGGAGAAGGGCGTCGCTGGGGCATGCTCAGTGCTTGGCTCTGGAAGATATAAGTCAAACACACCACCGCTCTTTCTCTGCTCACACACCTGTCTGCTTCCCCTCGCACCCATACCTTCTCCCGTCCACCAATTGACACCGACTGCCTTACAATCGCTTCCATTCATATTTAGGACCCTAACTTTCGTTTCGTCGCCATGTGGTAAGTCCCCGCCGCCCCACCATGGGAAGCTGTCGAAGCTACGGGGAGCTCAAGCTGACGACTGTGTTTACAGCGGTATCTTCGGTTACATCAACTACCTGGTGGAGAAGGACAGGAAGTACATTCTCGACACACTGATCAATGGTAAGCTCTCGAGCAATCCCTTCCCCAG